TTCTCAAGGTTACTGGAAACTTGCTTTGCTTTCTAAAAGACAATTTGATTGGAGCTGTGAAAAATGGCTCTATGCCAGCTGCCCGAATGCACCCATACAATACATAATTCGCCAAGAAAGTGATGGCTTCTAACAATGGCGCAAAAGTCGCTTCTATTTTTTTTGGGATTGTCATATGAAATTCCTCAGTCTTTTCCAGACTTTCACTGAAATATTTAAATTCCCTGACATTTCTGGTCAATTTTCGAATTTTTCTGGTTTTTCAGGTAGCGTGGCAACTTTGTAAACATCCTTCAGATGTGGAAATTGCAGAATACAAACTAGTCAAACAAGTTCCAACTGTTAATGCTGACTGCTACATGCAGCAACTGCTACGAATGAATCAGAAAAAAAATCAGTCAATACAAACATACATTTATAGGAGAAGGATTATGTCTCAGAATACTACAGAAGTGGTCCAAGAAATGTTATTAATGCTTGGCTGGGAAGTTTTCAAAGTACCCACTGTATAATTCAATATACCCCCTTCAGACTATCATTGCTTCAACCAAACGTAGAATTTGTTTGCTGCTTACTTCCAGCCATCTGAACAAAAAAATAATACACCTTCATCCTGTAGATCAGTAATCTGTTCAAACTGCATTCTGAAAGTCAAACCCCTGGGTTTTACATAAAAATAAATATTCTGAAAGAAAATTATGAAGAACTCTGCACTAGTTGATTAGCATTTATTAACTAAAGAGGAGAAAGTATCTTTAGTAACATTAGTTTTAAAACTTAATATGAGCTAATCACATGTAAATGACATGCACTGCTTTGAAAAACTAAACAGTTTTCTAATGGAAAATGAATTCAATTTAGGCAACAGTGTAAACATTTGAATGCCAATCAGACGATGTATTCAAGTGAAAATTTTTTCTCAACTTATCTGGCAATAGAAACAAACTGAATCAGAATATGAAATGCAACTGCAGATATTATCAATACAGATTGGTCATCAAAATTAAAGGATAATGAGAAAAATATGCTTACTAAAGTTAATATTGCGACCAGTAACCAAACCTGTAATTATTTATGTTAATTAAACATAACTGAACACAAAATTGCATTTCCGCATATATCTTAACACCAGAAACATGCAAATTTGGCGATGGATACAATGGGTGCATGTTGGAATTCTGGTCTGTAGTGTTATTTAAAGTGAACATGGTTACTAAGTGTGATCAGTATTCAGTAGTTATGGTTCAAAGGTAACATTTAAGTGAAGGTTAAAAGTACAAATAATTGGTACAATCAGAGGAGGTCAAACGCAAATGCAGTTCTCGTCGAAGATTAGAATACCCCTTAAAGCGTCATATCAAGAGTTCGGAGCCACTTTTTAAGCACTAGATCAGCTGATACACAGCCTGGTCAAGGGTGATCAAGAGTGAAAATTGCATCAGAAAAGGTTTTCTATTGTTGGCGGTTTGAAGAATCCATGAAGTGATTACCAGAGATTTGTTTTTAAACGTCCACGCTGCCACAGGAACTCAACTGTACTACTGCTGCACAAAGGCTTAATGAGGTTGGACCATACGTGAGAAAACCAATGGTTTGTATCCCACTCACTTCAGCTTCCAGATAATCCAGTTTAAACTGGTGTCATCATCATGTTCAATGGAACCAAGACTACTGGGCCCACGTATTGTTTACTGAGAAGTCGAGATACAGTCTGAGTAGTGATTCTAGACATGTTTCGATCTGGAGAGAGGAAGGAACACACAACTTTCCTTCCATTGTCCATGAAATATCCAGTTTCTGTGACTACAGTTAAATGGTATGAGGAGGAATCATGACAAATGGTCATATCGAGCTGCATAAGAAGGTTCTGTAACTGCTCGGATATATACAGATGAGGTTTTGGAATCCCAACTATAATCGTGTAGGGGTGCTGTTGGTGGCGCGTTTTTGCTAATGGATGACAATACTCACTATCATCAAGCACATGTGGTGTTAAAATGCTTGCAAACAGAAGGTATCACTCAAATCGATTGGCCACCTTCACCTTACTCACCCGAATTGAACCCAAGTGAGCAGGTGTGGGATGCATTATGCAATGAATTTCAGTGTACCACATTCTTTCCATACACCATATTTAAGTCCGTATAGGGTCATAGGGCAAACTTTGTTTTGCAAGGTGGACCGGGCTATGCCCTACCAAAACAAAACACCATATTTAAATTTTTCCTCCCAAAAGATGAGACTTTGCCATCATTTTCTAATTTCCATAAATTTGGTTTTAATTTCAATATTTTGCAAATAAAGACTTGGTAAAAATATATTTACGGGTGCTCCGTGGTGAAAATTGGCAATTTTTGGCGGTACATTGATACCGAGTTTGTGCAATTCTTTGACTTGTTACTTTGGTTTTGTGTAGTGGCGGTTTTTGTCTACACAGAGACAAAATAACAAGTAAAAGAATTGCACAAACTCGGTATCCATGTACACATTGACCTATTTTCACTTAAAAAAATATCAGAGAATTGCACAAACTTGGCACTTCGCACTCCCTTCACTTTATTCATGTACATATCGACCTATTTTCACTTAAAAAAACTTGCCATTGCGCACTCCCTTGACTTTATACATATGCACATCGATCTATATTCACTTAAAAAAGTCAAAGGAGCCACCAACAAAAAATACATAATCTCAATAAACTACATTTTAAATCAAAAAATGACATAACATAAAAAAAGGAAAATTCCTCTTAGCACTACACAAAGGAAATATCCATTCACCTTATTTATAAACTTATCTGTCTTCAGTCAAACACAATTTTTTAACAGCATATAAAAACTTTCTAAAATTATCTGAACTAGAATCTGTATACCGGTGTCGCCACATAAATTAACGAAAATAAGAGTAAAAAATATCCTCCAACGTTCGACCATCCACATTTCCTTCAAACAGGACACTTATAATGGCTACTAAGTAAACCTTCATTTACACATCAGTCAGTTAATGCTGACCCCTTTTGTTCCAAATTGTATAGAAACATCAAATTAATCATACCACATTTAGCCATTCTACCACCTAAACCACAAAACAAGCAATATACTTCCTAACTGACACACACCACAATCCCTTACACATATTTTACCATCATTCAAAATGTATCATAAACATGCAACTATGTCATAATAGGGTTTCCATAAAATTCAATTACTCAGGTTACCATTAATGAAACAACTTCGGCATAATACAAGAGGGACCCTTCAATCTACTCTAACCAAAGACTTATTTTGCAACTAATAATCTGAAAAAAAATTATTTTACCTATACAAGTTTTACATTTGGATTAGGTATTTATACTGTAAATCAATCACTGAATACATATTCTTACTAGGTATTGTTTCTTTTCATGGAGATCACTTAAGTAACAGATTCAAAGTTACTGTTCCCTTTAATGATTTTGTGGCACAATACTGTATTAGCATAAAAATTTTAAGCGATTTCTTCGACTACAGGCAAATTTCACAAGCACATATATTAAGACTGAGTTACAGACAAAATTACAATTTCTCTATAAAAACCACTAGACCTTAAATACAAGGAGGAGAAAACACATGAAAATAGTGACTTTTTCTCAGATTATGATCAGATATTGACTACTAAGATGGCTGCATTAATATGTTAGTACTTCCCCTCTCTCAATTTAATGTTTATTACATGTCTATTTTGCTAGAGACCATATTGAAAAGGAATACAGTCAAAAGTCGTTAATTTGGACTCGTCGGGACTTTGGCGATTGCGGATTATCGATTTTTCCGGATTATAGATCATCAGTTTAAATCTGGTAAGATGGCATGCAGAAATTATAAAATTAAAAATATGAAACTGTACTTTATGAAATAAAGAGCAATTATGATCTAATGGGTATCAAAATTTACAAAAAAAAAAAAAAAAAAAAGCTTAATATTTATTTGTTTACTTTATTAAACATTTCTTTCAATGTAAGTTGTTTAAGTTGCTTCGTTTTTTATGTGATAATACATTCTCTTTAATTCTATAAACAGACATAATTTCTTGTTCAGTTACAAAGTTCCGCTCTTCAAGTCCTATAATTGCTGTGTCGAGAATACCGACTAATTTGACAATCGAAATTTTTTCGTTTTCAATAACCTCAGTTACTTTCTTCGCTATCAGAAGCGAATTATAATGACGAGGAATTTGATTTAAATCGTATCAAAGACGGAGTACATCAAGATGAAATACTACATTTAGTAAGGAATTATAAGCCAAATAAAATAAAAACATCTGCCCTGAAGATAAGGATAGTGCTGACAGATCAACTTCCAATTCATTGCGTGCCACGGCGTTAAAGATAAACAAATGTTAAAGCTTAGATAAACAAAGGATATGCCTTTATCCATTTTTTGCAGCAATTCCACTTTTTGTTTAATAGACTTCGAAACATACTTTCGCTTTGTAGATCCTTTACATATAAGTAAATATATACCAGAAATTCTATTTGACATAATCGAAAGTTCAAGCTTGCTTTTATAAAATTGCTCTAACAGTTTGCAAAAAATAATAAGCCGAGCTTACTTTTATAAAATTGCTCTAAATCTACAAAAAATAATAAGCCGAATCCAATTCGAAGATTAAGGAACAACACAATCTGCAACATTAACTGAATTAGATAATTTTAGCTTAGCTTATACCATCCATTATACATTAAACATACATTCGTAAACGTAATTTGCGCACTCTTACGCGCATGCGTCAACGCGAGGCATGCGCAGAAAGTTTGTAGCTTTGAGGTCCGGATTATAGATCATTCCGGATTATGGGTGTCCAAATTAACGACTTTTGACTGTATAAACAAATTTACATAGCCTTTGAGGCTACCAGTATTATTATTTATAATTAACAATGTGCTTCAAATATCAAAAATAAACAAAGAAAACAAGCGAAATTTCTGTAATACAGACAAGTAGAAAATATTCATTACTCACTGCTTTCTGAATTCAAGCCTGTGTTTGCTTCCAACAAAGAACGTTCACTTTCGGTTATCTGATGTCTAAAATCTGAGCTTGATTTGCCTTTTACAAAAGTCTTTGGATCTGGAAGAGCTAATGAAATGAGAGATAATAATCGTAATAAACGGTCAGTTAATACTGAGCTGCGTTTAACAACAGGATGTGAAAGAAAACTCATTAGTTTAGTTAATGGAGATGACTCAAGTCCTACATTTTTTTCAACTTCATCACAACTGGAACTAGACGATGTCCCATATGCTGAAGATGAAGCACTGTGAGTCCTCAGCACAGTCTTGCCTTTGCGTGATGTAGTGCTTAAAGAATCTAATTTCACAAGTACATCCCAAAAATCGCTTTCTGAATGTGAACTAGCGTTTTCTAACTTAGAAGAAGACATACTCTTGGTTTCAGTTTTAGCTCCAGCAGAAGCTGGAGTTTTTCCTGATTTCTGATCAACTTTGTTACTAGTATCTTTAGATTTATCCTCCCTTCTTGCTGGATTAGGTAAGAAATGTATGGGAAAACTTTTTGCCAATGATATCAAAGTATCCAAAACATGCCTAAAATATAGAATAAAAAATTAATATCTGAATACTTGAAGTTACAAGAAAATGAGATCAAACAGAAACTACAATAAAAAGCTAAACAGTAAGAGTTCTTACACTGTTACAAGTCACAGTCAAAAAAGAGGAAAACATTCTTGTGCATACCTGAACGAGTACACATGCACAGATTATCCAAAAATAGCAGAAAAAGTAGAAATTCAATAAATCAAAATTACAGACAGTAGCATGATATTGTTTTCATGTAGAAAGATATGGGGTATTTTCTAAAATAATGAGATTTTACTTCCAGTGTATTTATATTTTTCACAAACAATTGGTGCTTCAGTTGTGACAGAAGTTCAAAGAGTGAAGAATTACAATTGACAATGCACACAGGATTACAAATGTTCTACATGATTGCTTTTATTCATCATAATGACAATTTCATGTAGAATGACATACTACAGAGCACTAAAGACACTTCAACTGTAATTCTTGGCACAGGATTGTGAATAAAACCTTTCAATATAACCAATAACACCAGCTGACCTCTGTGCATTTGTCACTTCAAGTAACCCAATAACTCAGGTCAAAAGGTGCAAGATCTGGAGACCGTTTTGGCTACTTGTGCAAAAAGAGCAACCGAGGACACTATCAGCATCAAATGTCAATCATTGAAGGTTTTGGGCAAGACCTATGCAGATGTAATTATTCTTGCATTAATGTTTACACTATGGAGCATTTGCCTCTCTTAATGCCCATATTCATTATATGCCCTTTTTGATGTTTTGAACTGGTTCTGTTAGAGTCTCCAATCAAAAAGGCCAAACAGTGCCAATCAAAAAGGGCACACAATGAATGAGACTGTGACTCGACATCTTTGGCTAATGCAAAAGCATTATCCACACACACATGTGAGTTCTCTCTCACCCAGGCACAGCAGTTACGTACATTTATGCTTTCATTAAATGAAAAATATATCTGGTCAGTCAACAGAACATTTGATAACCTGTAGCCTTGTTTTACATCTCCTGAAAAGGCAAATTTCATGCTGCTTGAAATCAGCTGACTTTAGCTCCAGCATGTGTTGGATTGTGTAACCTCTTGAAGATGAACTTAAGTGATCGTTATACAGTCCTGTATGAAATAACAATTCTTTGAGACTACTGCAGAAATTTGTTGGTGAAAAATATATTTATTTTAACAACAAATTATTTTACTTTTGAAACAAATCCCATGCTTTCTTATGAAAACCATGACATGCTGATATTTTGCATACTTTATGATCGCTTGGTGTATATCCTCCTGACTCCACAGGTCAACATATGTGGACCTTCAATTTTGCGATGCTGGAAATATTCCAGTACACTTTTACTCAATTGCAACTCAATTACTACGTACAGGGATGTTTCAGCTTTTCATTTTTACCAATGGATGGATGCACAGGTGCATACTTTTGAAGAAATCGGAGCTACAAGCAGATTGTTTTGCAAAAATGGCGCTGTCGAAAAGTCTTCGAAAACGTAAGTAATAATTAATTAATTAATAATTTAATTTTTAAAGTGAATATTTAGAGCTATTTAGGTTAGAGCTTTTGTTTAACGTTGTTGTTTGTTCGAGTCAAAGTTATTTTTTGTGGCAATGCATTGAAATGTGTATAGGTCCACATACGTGGACGTCAGTCCCGTTAAGGGAAATTAGGCTCAGTTGGTTACTGTCATACGTTTTTTTTAATATTACGTAATTTCAGTTACTGTTTCTGAAGTTTACGTTTTCAGAAACAGCTGACTGATGGCACAAGTGATTATATACATCTAGTGTGTAATTGTCCAATCTTAAATTATTTGTATTTTACAGGGTTTTTTTTTTACCCTTTTCTTGCTCTATTTTTGAATTAAAATATAATATTCATAATACTGGACTTCTATTCTTCATATTCTTTGACCCATTAAAATAAAGACAATGCATAGCTATTACTGACCTGATTTTATATTTTTAACTATAATTTATTGTTTGTAATTTCTTTGTTATTTCATGTTATTAGTTGTAATTGATAGTAACTCAAGTTAACATGCTTGCAGGATGACTTTGAGAATGCTCCAGAGCCTTTTTCACCCTTGGCTTCGTGTTTTGAATACCTGAGCGTGGAATCTTTCGAAGAAGTAGCTGCCCAAACTAATTTGTATTCTGTTCATCAGAAATATAAATCTGTAAACACGAACGCAAATGAAATAATGCGACTTGTTGGTCTCAATACTTGAATGGGCACACTGAAATTCCCTCAAGCAGAATTATATTAGTCAAGAAACCTATCAATAAGATGTTTTCATGGAACAATGGCAAGAGACAGACTATTCACTCTGCCCTAAAATTTTCATTTTGCAGCTAATTTAGCATTCCATAAAAATGAATGATAAACTTTGGAAAGTACAAACCTTTTTAAATCCCATCAAAGAAAAATGCCTTATTTTGCCTTGACCGCAAAACATTTCTGTGGAACAGCAAATGACTCCACTCCTTTCACATACTATCGGTGTACTGAGAAGGGAAAAAAAAAAAAAAAAAAGGCCAGTTTGAATTTTCTCCTATTTTGTGGATTTGGTGATATCAAAGTGTTAGGCGATGCAAAGTGCATGTTACGCTATTACAAGCGAAACAATCTTACGGGTGCTAAATTCCCTCATGGAATATCGCATGCTAGATGTATCAGTATTGCGCAGATATAAAGGAAATTTAATAACTAATAGAGAGAAGCTAAGACTCCCTTCAAGTTCAGGTGAGGAAGAATACCCTAAGAAAGCAGAGGAAAGTAACTTCTCAACCAGTAAAAAACACGAGTCTGAATGGTGTAAATCACTTACCAAGACTCATGGATACCAAAAATGCATCTAAACGTAGAATGCCAGGGTGCACATCAAGAAGAAGAATATTCTGTATCAAATGTAAAATGTATTTATGTGTATTAAAAACAATTATTTTGAAAAGTTTCATACAAAATAATGTGTTGATAAAGATAAAATATTAGTTAAAGTTACTTAAAATTAATAAAACAATCATACATTAGGATGTTATTGTGAAATTATATTGTGTTGATGTTTTATTTCACATTTTAATCTAATGGCGGCTTTAAATATTAAAATTTACAAGTGTTAAAATATGAGATTATTTACTTATTTGAATCCCAAGGTACACAAATGTGTACCTAAATTTTTTGGTCCCCAAATATACATGTATAAAAAAAATCTCTTTTTTCCTATCTATAGACAGAAAGCAAGCATATAAACTTCAAGAATTATTTTTAAATTAAATATTTTAACTTCGGGTGTGAAGAGGATATACACATACAGGATACTTTAAAAATATCTGGCAAAATTCTCAAATTAGGTTGAAGCGGCAGAAATAGATTTCGTATTAGAATGGATGTGCAGTATGCAAAAGCATTTTCCTGCATAATCATCATTCCCATGTGGATTTTGAGCAGTATGCATCACTACACAAACATGGAGTTTGCCCTACACTTGTCTTCACTACGGTGCAGCAGATGGAAACACAGCAGTTACTCAAAGTATGTACTCAGAAATCCCTCTCTGTTGCTTTTTACAGTAACTGCTTTATTTCTGTTACAGCCACATGGAGAGAAACATTTTGGTGAGCTCCTTGTTCATATAAGATGCATACTGCTGAAAGCCTGGATAGGAAATGATGATTTATGCCAGAAGTATGTACTACTGACCATTCAATAGTGCTCTGGGTACCTCACCGTGACATATTCCATCAAGAAATATTATTTTGGTCACCTCTAGCTGCCTTTACATTTTTGCTAAATATTTACAAATCAAAGCTGAAAGACAGTAACAAAAATAACCAAGGCACACATTGCTTAAAAAGTAACTTGATTAAAAAAAATAGTAGAATGTCTAAAACAAGATATTTAGCGATTAATAGGAGAAATTTCTATTATGAAATGTAAATAAGAAACAAAATAGTCAAAACACTTGCCTTTACTTTGCAATGAAATACAAAAATTACTCAATAGTTAAAATTAGAACACTTTGTTTTGAAGTAGACTTCTACACTGCACTTTTGATACTTGTGTCTTATCTGTTACTAGAAGTTTAGATGGTACCAAAAATCGGTCATTTCCTTTCAAATGCTTGCCAACCTATGACACTCAGGAGAATTGGAAGAAATGAGAAGAATTTTCTAAACTACTGCCCCCTTCAAACTTTTTTAAAGAATGCATTAACTTTCCGGTATAAAATACACACACTTATAATTTCAAACTACACTTTTTAATTTTTAGGTGTATTTGGTGTATAATGGACAATTTTTTTTTTTTTTTTTTTACAAAGATACCTAAAAGATACATGTTCAATGGTCAATCTTTTGAAATCATCCAGTTGAACATTTTGCCCTGGGCTATTGAACAATGGTATACTAAACTAAGAAGTGATAAAGGGAAGAATATGTATGTGCAGGAAATGCTTGAGGTGGTAAATAATTCTGGAAAGAGAGTGGCTTGTATTCAATGCAGCTGTGCACAAGGATGTTTATAGGGTTTCAAGAAAAGGGGATTTAATTTGGGGTAAATGCATTTCTGACCAAATGAATACATGGAATAAGCAGCCACATGTTTTTCTTTCTGCTGCCATTTGCAGCTTTGATTCTGAAGTAAACATCAAAGACTTCAGTAAACTGCATTTTGCTTTAGTTGAAGTACAGTTCTTAGAATTAAATATGGCTCCTGCCAAATAAAAAAAATACAGTGCTGGTTTCAAATGAAGTCATTAAATTTGTGAAAGAAAGTGGAAATCCTGCTGCAGCAATGATGTTTGGTGCTGATGAAACCTCTATACATGAGTGGAAGCTAAATAAAGAAATAATAATTAAAATAAAAAGAAAATATTTGCCATCCATTAACCCCTTCAGGACCAGCATCGCATATGCAAGATGCAACGATTCCACTCTTATCAGCCCCGCATCGCAAGTACACGAAGAGATCCGATCAATCTTTT